ATCTGACAATTATTTGATTTTTGCAAGAATTTCCAAATTGTGTCTGTCACCACAGAAAAGAAGCTAAAATTAGCTATGCTAAAAGTTAGTACAACTGCTGATCCAAGAAAAACAAGTTTTTTTTTTTTTTTTTTATAACAAAATTTCAAATATTCTAAAAAGGAGTAAAAAATTTGATTAAATATTCAAAAAATACTTTGATCCTTCCTCTTAATAACAAAAAGACTTTGACAATAAAACTGTTTTCTTCACGGTATGCTGATTTTTTTTAGCGATCATACATGCATACATACTCACACACATGCATACATACATACATAGATAGATATACAAAGAAATTTTTCTTACTTCAAACATTTTTTTAGTGGATATTTATATTTTAGTGAGATGTCCCCCACTTTTCATCTACCAGCCTGTACACTCAAGAAAACAATCAAGGAAATGTGCCGTTGACAGGAATCAATCCTGTGTCACCCTTTGCAGGAGAAACCCCCATCTGATCCAACATGTTTTGACCAATTGGCTGCAGAGAGCTTCAGTTAAGCAAGGTTCTCTTTGGTTTAATACACATTCACAAATCTATATTTGCCCAGTTTCATATCAGAAACAAAGAAAGCAATTTCTAAAGAAATAATGGATTTACACACACATCCCAAAAGCCATGAGAAGGTTGCCTAGTCATGGGCTGCAAGTCTACATGGATTCCAGAATTGGTTGTGTGACTTATCAAGAGATGTTGATCCATGGCATGTCAATAGCTGTCCACAATGGCTCAATATTTATCAGTGCAAGATCTTGCATGCAAATCCTATACCACATTCCATAGATACTAAATTGGGTTTCATGTTGGACAAGTATGCTCCCCAAACTAATTCTGGGCACCTAGAACCCAATGTTATGGTGCATTATTCTGCTAGAATAATTCATGAAGAGGTGCAAATGATTACAAAATAGTGCAATTGATAGTTACTGATCAATAATGCCTTCAAGCAAAATCAGGAGACCCAACCCATGCTACGTGAAAACACCATACATCATTTTCAGTTCTCCAGAGTCCAATTAACATAATAAACCCAGGTGAGGTGCTGTATCCGATGTTATGGGGTTAAAAGGAGCACCCTGGTGGCTCTTCTGCTCCCCTATAATATAGAAACTTAAAAACACTGAACCGATTGGTTGGATATGCATCTGGTACCTTCTGCATTGTATGTGGATGCAATTTCAAACAATGTCACTTGACTGTTACCACAGGTAATTCTAACCCAGCAGCCCTGGTCATGATCATTAAACACTCCCCCACAGCGCACAGCCAGACTTTCTATCAGTTATTCCTGGTATACAATGGACACCAGAGATCAAAGGCTGTCAAATGTCTACACAATTTCAGAAATTGAATGTCCCATCCATCATTATTTTGACCCCTGTCCAAACTCAAATAATTCACATCATCTTTCCAACAGAAAGACATTGGAGAACAATCAATATAGGTTTGGACATTTCCTTAACATCAAAGTACATTGATTTGGGGTACTTTTTTAGGCTTATAAGCATTTTGCAGATTATTTAAAGCCAGAAAATATTTTTAGATTGTAAGAAATTTTTGGAGATAACAATAATTTGCTGATAAGTCCTACTAATTAACACATAGCTGAGGTGGAGGGATAAGTGGTGGATACTACCTCCCCCAACGACATTTGCAAGTGAATATAACAAACCTGACTGGAATTAGAACTCAGCTCTATGATTTCCGATTCTGAGCAGTTATCCATTACACCACGCACACCTCCATTTACAGTGCCTGCTATTTCTAAGTGGTCACCCCTCTAAGTACAGAACAAGCTGAACATCAATTAACTTTAGTGATAATATGGGAACCAATGTTTCAATGTGATATGGCCATAAGCCTGCATCAAGGCATTATGGTGCTACCAACCATTACATAATTATTGCCATGCAAGTATCAAATATCATTAAAATAGCCTGCAACCTTCATGATTATATTTTCAACTTGAGTTAAAAAAAATAAGAAAAAAAAAAAAAAGAAACCATTAGCACACAAGACAAAAAAATAATTCCAACCAGAGAGCAGAATTTCTGACACAAATAGATATTTACATTCAACAAATATTCACTGTCTGCTGACCTCAAAGATGAAAAAAAACAGACATCTAACAGGAAAGAAGTGCTGAATTTAGAAACAACAAATTTCCTAGCATGCTCCACCCGCCAACACCAATAGACATACACCCACCAACACACAGCTTCCCAGCCAAATACTTATTGCAACTGAAAATAACAGCTGCAAAATTCCAAAAACCACCAGCGAAATATGATGAAGGTTTAGACAATTTCACTGAAGTAAAAAGGTGTAAACAGTTTTTCTGCCATTTGCATTCTGAAGGCAAAGAAAATGATTTTGCTGCTAAAAAGCAAACGGTTATCATTTAATATTTGAAAGTTAACAAGACATTAATAAGCATATAATAATTGAACTTGTTCCTTTCCTCATTAGGTTGCCCAACCATTACACCCTGCCAATACTCCATAAATAATGAACTTATTTTAGTTTGATTGCATGGAAAGAGAAACCATATCAGAGAGACTACTTGGTTTCAGTGAAAAAAGATGTGTGTTTCAACACATCCTGCTAATAGCTCATAAATAATGGACTATTCCATTTTGATTGCCAAGAAGACAAGACATATCAAAGACGCTACTTGGTTTCAGTGAGAAAATGAATGAAAGAAAAAAAGTGTTTAAAGTCTGTTTCAGTGAAATGCAAAATGTTGTTAATTATATTTGTACCCCCTTACTTCTAAAAATAACAATCAGTATTAATATTTATGTTACTGAAAGAAGCTGTTAAGCTCAAATACTCAACAATGCGATCTGGGAATTTCTAGGATATTTTTTTGCCAGGAGGTTATTCAATCATTAACTTAAGAATGAAGATTCATCAGAAAATTCAAATAGAAAAAAAAAACATGAAATTTTCACATGCAGCTTCAGATTTTGTTTGTGTTTTTTTTTTTTTTTTTTTTTTACACAATGATGTTCACTTTGTACAAGGCTCGAGAGCCACTCAAGTTAGGTTACATAGTAAGAGGCACCTTCACCAAGGCACAAGGGGCCATCGAAAGTGAAAGAGAAAAAGACTTTAGAGGGAATTGGAAACCCAATCCTAAATAGGAAACAAAGGATAGCCTTATACACCCATTCAAAAGACTGGGGAAGAGTGTGAATCGAATGATAGGCAAACCTATCTACTTCTATTAGATCAGAAGATTTTACAAGCATTTTCAACTAAGTGTGCATTATACTGCACTTTGAGCAGATCTAAAAATCTGTTTATATAAAGCAAGAGATTTGATTACTATCATCCTCCAAGTGTGGCCAAAAGACAGGAATTTCCTTGCAGCTTTTGGTCACTGACTGATCAAAAATGGTTGAAGTACAAAGAACTGATGGAAAATGAAAGAAAAATTTGACTTTACTCAAAAGAGATTATACACAAAGTTATGACAGCCAGAATTTATAATGGTCGATTGGTCCCATTAACAAACCAACTGCCAAAACAGTACTGACTAAAAAAAAAAAAAAAAAAAATTGCACGCCAAAACAACAATCTTAAAATACTGCCATTCATACTAGGTCAACAAGGACAGATTAAACTTTTATTTTTTTTTTAAATCATTTTACCCCTAGCAGGGCAGGAATGCCACTAGTATGCCGGGGGGGGCACCAAGACAGAAGATTGAAAACAAAGAGGATTGAGGATAGGACCATAGATAAACAAGATTCAAGAAGACAGAAGATGACGATTGACATTGCCAGAAATTTTTGAAGATTGTAGTTATCAGGGAAACAAAGAAACGAAAGGGAACTTCCACAGGCAATTTTTTCTTAATTTTTTTTGATTGGGACAATGTTCAGCTGTACTAACTCAGGACAATAGCCTGTGACCAGAATTCATAAATTACAGAACAATTCACATTCCACTTTTTCTTGACCATCACATATACAATGGCAGTTCTCAATGGAGGCCTTGATATTGTAGAGCCATTCATTTGTCTTCCTCTTAATGATATTCCTCTTCACCAGACAGTGGTTAGGAGTGGCTCAAATCATTCAAGCAAGGAGGTCACATTTTGGAGATAACATCATGAAAATCACAGTCAACCACTTCTGGGATATACAGAAAGGGAGGAAGTCCTGCAGGAACATTTAGAGACCCCTCCCCTCTGCCTTTGATCCTTTGGGCTTGGCTGTGTTATGCAGCTCAGTATTGAGAGTGACACTGACCCTAAAGCCCTGCAGGAGGGGAGGCAAGTGTTACAAAGCCAAAAGACTGAAAAGGCAGCTAGTGAGGGAAAGGATTAGAATTAAATACTTTATTGAAAGATCCAAAAGAAAAATATAAAATACAGGTGGAAATAATTGTGCATTCTTCATTCTATTTTCACATATGAACATATTTTATGTTTATAAATTTGGTCTAAAAACAGGCAGCCATTGTAATTAGGAAGGAGCAAGAGAGTAAGAGAGAACAACAGAAAACAGGGAAAGAATAGAACAGAGGCACAAAATGATTGATAATTTCAGTTGTCAATACCCATGGAATTTCCAAGAGGTCCAGCAAGGAAAAATTACTTTTAACTAGAATTGCTTAAAATTGTTATAGAACATTTTTAATAAAATGGAGAATTTTGTGTCAGCATTTATGACACATTTGTGCCATGCCAAAATAGTAGGGGTCAATCAACAATAACTTTTGTCAAGCTACTAAAAGAAGATCAGCATTGAAGAATTGCAGATGATCAGAAACCAAAGGAGTGTAGGGCCAGTGTCCACGAATGGCAAGCAAGCTCCATGGGGTAGTTCCAAATAAGCAATGGTCAGGTTTTTTGTAAAGAAAAATAAAACTTCTGATCCTTCTCAAACTATAATTCAATTACATACAGGTAAATAATACTAACTCAAATGACAAAAATTAAACTTACTTTTTCGATTTCTTCCAAAATTTCAATTGTGGTCTTTTGTTTCTGAAATGACAAAAAAAAAAAAAAATAAATAAATAAATAAATAAATAAATATTAAATAATTTCACACAAGCAAATTCATCAAAATAATTCTGATTAAATGTTTGATCAATGAAAAGAAAGGGTCAGTGCATTTAAACAATTTTGAATTTATAACAATTTAGTTTAAATATTTCACATAGAACTTATTGGTGGGCAATTGAATGAAACAAATTGAAATAAATTCCTATGTGATGCATTTCAACAGTCGAAATGAATTCTTCAGATTAAATGTTTTTATTGATTGAATCATATGTATGCAGAGGGAAAAAAAAATGCAAACAAGATCCCATAAATAAAAACATTATTTAATCTGAGGTCTTTTCAAAGAACAAAGCGTATCACATGGGATCTTTTCATTATGTCATTCAATTATCCACTATTAGTCTGATGTATAGAGTTTATATACCATACTCTCCTGAAGATATTATTTAAAAAATAAAGAAAGGTTCTATGGCAGATCATAAACATTGCAAAAATTCAGAGAAAACTAGTTGAAATAATAGAAATCCTATAAGTTTGCCAAAGATATTCAAAACATTTCTAACACATCCAGAATGACAATTCACTGAAAGCAAAAGGGAAAAAAAAACCTATACTAAGCTGTTGGCCAACAAAACTTTGCTCTGTACAATCAGTGGTTTTGTGCTCTCAGTAGGAGATGCGGAAGAGATTTCTCAAAGCAAATTTTACATGTGTCTGACAAGCTTTCACCCTTTTTTTTTTGTTTTTTAATTTATTTATTATTCCTATTTTTGCCAATTTTGTCTGTGCACAAATTCTTGAGTTTGGAAGTCAAAGAAAATTATTTCAACTACAATTTATCTGTCTATATTTCTGAGATGAGGTAAAATGTACACTATTTACATTATTCGGACTATTGTCCTCATCTTTGTTGCCATATTTATTACAACGTTTCGGCTGTTGTACGCTCCGGCCTTCTTCAGGTGGTTGGAATGTCGAACTGAACCCTTTATTTCACTCACTGGAGTAGAGTGTTCTACTTCCATGTGCCATGTTTAATGGATGTCAGTTATCAGTTATCTCCTGTTAATTCCCCTCTCCAAGTTCTCCACTGCCTTAACCGGGTATTGAACTCACATTCGTTGGGTCCTATCACTGGATCTAACCAATGCCTTTATCCACTGTGCCATGTGTCCTTGTCCCAGTGAGCAAAATAAAGGGTTCAGTTCGACATTCCACCTGAAGAAGGCTGGAGCATACAACAGCCAAAACGCAATAAATATGGCAACAAACAAGAGGACAACAGTCCAAATAATGTAAATAGTGTACAACAATTAATTATTATTGGAACAATTGGAAAGAACATGCAGCCATTATTAATTTTTTTTTTTTTTTTTTTACTTTTGCTTGTTATCTTCTGACTAACCAAAATGAATTAAGTCTTCCCCCCTCCCCCTATTGTCATCCTGATCAGATAAACAAGACTTTTTTTTTTTAAATTCCATGTCCCTTCAGGACATGAGTAATAATGACTTTCTAGATTTTTTTTTTTTGTAAGTGAATTCTCATGAATTGAAGAGACAAATCGGAATGGTTTCCCATTGACTTCTGCATAGGTTTGAAATTCAGAGTTTTCCCTTTCTTAGACATTGCCACCCAAGGCTACTCTGATATTTGGTCTCAAACTGGAAGGATAACAGACAGATTGATGCCACCTGTGTGAAAATTAATGCAACACACTAGCATGGAATTTGAGCTCGGCTCTCAGAATCCACTTTCCATGCCATTATCCATTACACTACTTTTAAATATGATTTAATAACCATTCTAAATAAAACCCATGTTCACCAACTGAAAAATGTAGATAAAACAAATAAAAAAAGTGTTTTAATAAGTGAAAACATTATCCTGGCAAAGACAATGAGCAAATCACCTACAAATATAAAAATTTCAATCCTGCAAGAGAATATACAAGCTTAATTATTCTCGGATATTAATCAGGTCACTCAACTAGAAACTGGAAATTCTGATGCATTCCTGAATAAAATGAAAAATTTACATTATAGCAGTGTTTTTCTAGAAAAAGTGTTAAAACATTTCAAATTTGCTTTTAGCTTACAACACAAAGTTGTGGGAACAAGGTTATTAAGTATTTTTAACATGACAAAAGTACTTTACAATTAAAATCAGACAAATTAAAGGTGCTATTTACACAATATCGCTTTCTGTTCTACTCAATTTGAAATCTATATTCACTAAAACCTTTTAAAGTCAGATTTAACTCATTCGAACAGGTTTCCAAGTAAACTCAATCTTGCTATTGAAAAAGATTGACAAGTAAACATTGAAATTACAAGTAATTGTAGATTTACGAATACAGGACCAATTTAACATCAATGAGCACAAAATATTTGACCTTTATTTACATAGACAAAATTATTGAGAAGAAAAATCTTATTTATATTTTCACATTCAATAGTTTTCATAAAAACCTAAATATAAAGAATTAAAATTAAATACCCAAAGGTAATTTTTTTTTTTTTTTTTAAACAATGATATTCACCCTGTACAAGACCCGAGGGTTACTCAAGGTAGAGGCTTACAGCGTAAGAGGCACAGTTTATGCAGATATGCATAGAAGATAACGGTTAACCCTAGACTTGAACAGGTTAAGATTGTAGTGATCAGGGAAGCATCCTCTTGGGAGTCAGTTCCACAAGTCTGATATTCTAGAACAAAAGAGTCTCACAAAGCTATAAACAAAAAAAAAGAAAAAAGTTTTAAGATCTCTTTATTATACAAGTCCTGAAAAGTTCTGACAGATATATATGCCATATTCCTTCAGGAGATAGGTGATCATGCCTCTCCACAATTTCTTGTCCTTCATAGCTCTTAACTCTTTCTTATTTTCTAAACCTTGTTCTGCCATCATGCTCTCTATGTAGGTTATGCGCTATCTTGTCCCTCTTGCCTTCAATTTGCCATGTGAGTACCTAATTTTCCAAGTCCTCTTTCCTCATATGCCCTAGAAATTTCAACTGTCTCTTGGTGTTAAATAGAGGTTCTCTTTGTTTCCATTTTGAAAAACTGTCATTGCTCACATTACCAGTCCACATTATTCTCAGCATCCTTCTGTAGAACCATATTTCTCTTGCTTCAAGTCTCTTTATATGGGAGGAGATTGTCCAACATTCACTGCCATTGACTTACTACCCAAAAATATTAACTTTTTTTTTAGTCCATTCCTAATTGGGCTAAGAACTTTCCAGAAATCCTTCATAAAATACTGAGGAAAACAAAATAGTACGTTTTCACACATGCTTCTCAAAAGTGTTTTTGATATACTTATTAAAATTTCACAGCAAGTGCCAATAAATTCTTTTTATCAAATAAAATATCTCTAATGGGTTTATAATCACATGAACGTATAAAAAAAAAAAAAAAAAAAACTTCCCAGCCTTTAAAACATGGAAGGACACAAATGTGTGGGAACAATGCTAAGAATTCTTCAATAAACACACAAAACATTTATAGAAACTTATTACCTTCAATAGTGACTTCCTTCCTTTAATTTACCTAATACGAGACCCAACAAAAAAAAAAAAACTGATCCAGGCTTTTGAATTAATCTAATGTGGGGGGGGGGTGAAGGAATGCTCCCACACATACATCTAAAGAACCTACTCTATCTTAACCACCTTTTCATCTTTAATTACATTCTTCTAATAAATGTTCTCATCTTTGTTCTGAAGAAATTGGTCTATGGCTATTGCTTTTTCAGGTGAGAGATGTTGTTTTCAATGTCAAATCATGAAGATTTAAAACTTTTTATGTAGAAAAGAAAAAAAAAAAAACATAAGGAAGAGGTACTGATCATTCACAAAGTGGGAATTAGATTTTCTGTTTGTGAAAGCGCCATTTCATGAAATCAAGATTAGAAAACATTAACCCCCACCCTGCACAATAGTTTGGATGCTCTTAATTTTGGTATTAGGTTGATTTTTTTTTTTTCTTTTGTGCATGAGAGGCAATTTGGAAAATTTCTACTTCAACATGTTTTGCCAATAGACCAACTTCAGAAAAAGAGAATTATTTCATAAAACCAAAATCAATTTTAGCAAGACAAAATAGGGAATTTGTTTTTTTTTTTGAGATTTAGCCTGAGCAAAACAAATTCATGGATTTGGATAAAAAAAAAAAAAAAAAAAAAAAAAAAGACTAAAGTTATGTTTAGTTTAATTTGTAACTTATATGAATGAATGTAGCTAGAAAAAAGTAAATGTTGATAAGATAGTGAGAGTCACAAAGTACTACCAGGGACACCCAACCAGGATGTCCACCCTGCTTAATCAGATCTCAGATACATGGAACAGAATCACAAAAAACCCACATCACATGAACACTTCCAAACAGCAACAAAAATGGGTGGTAGATGGAACTAAACAGAGGAAAAAAAAAAATGGTAGAATCAAGATTTTAACTTTCTGCTCTACTGATAAAAGAATCCATAAATCAGATAAATCTTTGCTTGAAAAGACATTGGTTTGTATAAAGTTGACAAAATCTTCTCATGGTTGATCTGTAAAGAAAGAGAGAGACTTCGAGTCTTTCTTTTATTTCTTTGAAGTTAGTTCCTTATGCAAAATGAAACATTTGTCAACTGATATGTGAGCATATAGCAATTTAATATCTGGACTGATGCATTGCTATTTTTGATATTTAGGTTTTGTTTTTTAATTTAGTGATGAGATCACAATATTTTCTAAGCTGTGATCGGTCAATTGTTCTTAAATTTGTTATATATTTGCCATTCTGCATTCCCCCGCCCCATTAAGATAACCTTTTCAGCAGCCAACACCTCATTAGAAGAATCGTTAAGAACCTAAACAGAATATTAATGAAATTCATAAAGTGACAAATAGCTGAGGAGGAAATAAGGAATTACAACTAAAATACAATTTATTATTAAAATTGGAGGAAAAAAAAAAAAAAAAAATGAT